TAAAATCACAGCAAGCAATGTTAGGGCTCAATAACATATATCCTCCACATCAAATCGGTGCTACAAGCCCACCCATCAGGTCCTCCACACCACAGCTGCCAAGCACACATGCAAATACACCGCCTACTTCCACCCCACTGACACCATCATCCACTCCGTCTGGCAGTCTCGATGACAAAAATGCTGCCTGGTTCAATTGGTGCAAAGCATTCGGCGCTAGCCTCAATTCACTCGCACCAGCAACAGCAGTTGCTCTACAAACCAATCCCTTGCAACAATCACAATCATCTTCCGGAAATCCAACTAGCTTAACTAATCAGAAGCCACCTTTCGAAAATATTCTATATTCACAACTGACAAAAGACACCAGTAGTCCATCCCTACAGAGCACTAGTTCAGTCGATAATATGCACAACAACGAAGTCACTAGCAACGCCGATTCTACCAGCAAACCCGAAGATCTCTCAGCAAAGTCTGCGAAAACCATCAGTCCAGCGCCTAGTCTTCCAACTCCAGATCAAAGTCCCACACAAACTCACACACCAACACCGAGTCCAACACATAGTCCAGTCAGGCGTTCCGAAGCAGACACGGTTACTAGCGCTAACGAGGGGAGTGCGGGCAGCGTTGCCGACTGCAAAGATGTACTCGATAATTTACTTTACAAAATAAACAGCAATCCAAGTTCAGCAATACCAAAAGTTGATACACCCGGAAGCATGGAAGTCAGCAACGATTCCGATCTTAGCTACAATAGCGAAGGACAAACGAACAATAACGATATTAGTGCAAATAATAATAACAACAACAACAACTCCAACAAGACCGATGAAGAGGAACGTATCAAATTCGGTGACAACAGCGACGAAGATGATGACGAGGCTATCAAGCATGGAGAAAAGTTCTTGAAATGGTTGGAGAACTGCAGCAATCCGCGTGTAACTAGTGTGCAACTAATGCAGCTGAGATTCCTGATTGCCGCTGTCAAGTCCAACGCTGATCCAAAAGCTATTAAGGAGTGCAATAACTTGGCTAGTACGTCACTGTCAGAAACAGAGGATTCGGTTGAAGAGACCTGTCGCAATAAGGTTCGTCGTCGTAAATAGGATCAACCAAAACTGGCATCTACGGAGCCAAGGCAAACTGGTAAGACACAAAGCAACGACTTAATAAAAACAAAAATATATGTCCGCAATTCAGAGAAATTGCGACAGCTGCCAAGTGGTCCCGGCACAGATGAATTTCAACGCTATCATCACCAATTCACCCCAGCCATTTACCAATCCTCTGCTACTCTGCTCAACTCGCTATTCTTCCCGCCCTATGAATTTGTACAGTGCGACTTTCTAGAGGACGACCAAGATGATTGCCAAATAACTGGCGAATATCAGCAAGTAAATGAAATTGACGAAACTTGATCAAATTACTGAATAACATTGACTCATTTAATACCACATAATAATGCTATAATATTATTATTATATAAAAATATATTTATTTTAATTATAAGAAAAAAATTTAACAATTTATGTACTTCCAAATAATTATGGATCGATCAATCGATCATTCATAAATAATTATAATTATTAAATGATCAAAAATCTCATGTAAATAACAGAATCTTAGCATAATTTTAGGCTTGCATAGGAACAGAATTGCGCTTATTAGTTACTAAAAAGAGAAAGCTCTATATGTATTTTAGTTATATACGTTTACCGATTTATATAACATAAATGAACTTAATTTACTGTAAATATATATATCTATATATATTCTCAGACGTTTCTAGTTTAAGTTAAACATCTTCATTTTGTAATTTTGGATTCTTCTCAATTATGTAAGATTTTACTTAAAAAAGTTTAGAAAATGTTATATAAAGAAATTATTAAATGTTGTTAGAATAATTTATCCTTTGACCGAAGCTGAGATTGGCTCATGCGTTTTTCCCCGTGATTGCCACTCCATCAGAGATCAATCAAAAACCAAACAAAAATTGATATATCTTTTTATAGTAAACTCATCATCAAATTACAATACCAAAAAAAAAACAAAAACAAAAATTGGAATATAAAAAAAAATTAATTACAATAGAATAGCAACTAAATTTTATTCACTGATTATTATTATCAAATAAATAAACAAAAATTTATACAATTTGTTTTAATTCCATTTTTATAACTTCAAGATATATATATATCATACAGGAACCAATGTCGTTTAATATGCACATGAGCTATCCAGGATGGGCGTATGGATCTTACCAAATTAAGTGGTATTTTTCATACTTTTTCATACTAAATGTGATGGCACCTAAAAGAACTGGAATTGAACATTTATGGCGGTTATAGTGCGATTTATGTTTAACGGAGTACCTTTCCCAGAAGAAGACAAATGGTACTATACATTTTACATTTTATCAATGGGTTTTTTATCAAATGGTTTTACATTTTATCAACAACACTCCAGCAAATTTTATGTTATTCCAGTTTTGAAAAATGTAGACTTCAAATACAGAATTTTGAAAAATGTAGAATTTTTTGGTAGGCTTAACAGTGAAGAAAACAAATTTCGATTAAACGGAAGAGCTCTCAATTGAGCATCACAATTTTCTTTCAGAAAATGAAAGTAAACTATTTGCTGAATGTCAACAGATCTCCAAACAAACATTTTGTTTGTGGTTCTAGTGTATTAATAACTTCACAAACAGAAGAGTTCACATCCATTAAACTTCTTCCTTCATTTAGAATAAGAGGCATGATAATTAAGGAGAATAGTTTAATCATTGATAACAGTAATCAGACATTGATATCCGTATATCATATTTATTAGTTACTACGTTGTTATGGTGATCGTGTAGATCCACTTAGGTCTGCTGATTCGTAGTGTTGTTGGTGGTAATTAAGATCTAGTGACAATTCATAAAATTCGAAGGTATCTATATGTGAATGTAGCGCATTGGTACAATAGATGTAGTAAAGTAGATGTAGTATACACCACATCTGGAAGTACCGTGGAAAAGGCTATCAAGAGAGAAATCGATGTATTTATCCGAATCGTTTAGGATCAGATTTTTTGCTTGATTGCATACTATTAAATAATATCTGTATTTGTTAAATTCAGTTAGATAAAGTATTAAAGTATGTATGACGGATTTTGCTTATCGTATTTGCTATTCTGATATTTCTTGATAATCTGCAGCATAAATACTGGCTTGCAAGTTCATAATCAAAACTATTTCTTTACAAGCAGGGGTTAGACATTTAGACCACATAAAATATAAAAGAGACAGTTGGTTAAGTTATTTGAATAATTCCCCCATAAAGGCACTTATTGGAAAGAATTTCCACCTGTGCCAATCTATGTTCTATATTTGGATATATAACTTCCTCAACAAGAAGGAAGTGCTTGATGAGAAGCAAGGCATATCTAGGTGCTAGATATGATCTATTCCTAATATGCTGTTAGGTTTTAGCACCCGGGTAAAAAATGCAAATTCACATTAAGTGAAAGAACAAATGCTTACGTTTTATCTACATACCTTATCCACCACAGTTATGAATTTAATGTCTTCTATGATAAGACTAACAACCAGATATCAGTACTATTAAGCATTGCCTAGGAATAGTTACAGACTTTTGTGCCCCATTCTATTCAGTCTGATCGAAAATTCTGATCGATAAAGGAAATATATATTTTTAAGCTAGTGCGGAATTGATCCTTTTGCATTCTTGATGAAATAATGCAGATGTAAAAACTCCTCACGCACTATGCGATAATGAAAAAGATAATATTGCAAAGGGAGCTGACATATATATTTAAAATATGTATTTTGACAAATATATGTTCTTCTGACAAAAAACAAGATAGTCATATTTCTCTTCATCTCTAACGACCAACGTTGAATCTGCATTCTCTTTCATGTAAATCTTCTTGATTCAATTGAATTGATGGCAAATATTAGCTTTGGTTTGGTACCGTAGTTAACTTTCAACATGCTTGGAAATAAATTACAATCCGATAATAAATTAAAAACTTTCTTGATTATATACATATTTAAAACTGCCATGGAAAAGGATAACAAGAGAAAGAACTCGATGTATTTAAGAGTATCATTTCATCTAAATAGGCTGTGAGAAAGATGAAAGTCTTTCTTCTTCTTCACTAAGAGAAGAGAGTGGATAATATGGAAATGGAGATTGTAAGGTGCTTATTACACCTTTGCCAAATTAAAAGGCTTGTATGTTTCCATTTCTTTGAAATAAAGGTTTTGAACATTTTTTAATCCTTAAGTTGATCAAATCCCCTCGTATTTCGGTTACAGAAACGTTATTTTGTCTTTCTTGATTTATCTAGCGATAGTGATAGAGGGCCGAGGACTAAAAGGCACCCACTTTAAAAATCTACTACAATTTTACGTAAAAGTAGTTGAAAATATAGGTCTAGAATGTCATACGTCATACAAATATAGTACACAGTTGTGCTAGAGATAAGGACAGGACACATTCACATTAACTGGAGAATATTGTACTAGAATTGAGCTTTAATTTTTCACATACTATGTACAATTATTTTATATTACAAATTTTTAAGAATCAAAAACGTGTTCTTCTTATATATGTAGAAACCCCACTGATCCAACCCTAGTTAAACATAATATTTTTAATATTATCTGTGGGTAGTTTACTTCTCGTAGTTAAGTGAGAGATCTCTGTAAACTATAAAGACTCAAATTGTTTTCAATAGAGTAAAAAAACCATTTACTTGTTAGTTTAGTGAAAATACTGCTTTCAGAAAATTTTGAGGGTAATATTCAAACGAATATCAATCTAACATCTGTCTAGAATTAGACGAACTTTCAATTTTTGCAGGGATCACTAAATCATTATTTTTTTTGTAATGATCCACAATGATTTTAATATTATTTTAAAATGTGACGAAAATTCTATTTAATTCATTAAATATTAAAGTTTTCGAATGAGCAATCGCTTTGTTTAACTTACGGTTTCAATAATGTCTTTCAATGGTTCATAGACTATAAAATCCGATACAAATCTAGCGATTCCCACCTCGTCTGCAATCAGTGGCACATAAGCAAAAGCGGTTGGTCGAATCGTTGTGCAAACAAATTTCTGAAAATATGAAAAAAAAATATTAAAATCGATGTACAAAATATGAACTATATTCCATTATCTTACCTGTATATTGCATTCGTTGTACGGTGCAAGAACCAGTGGACGACGTTTTGGGAATAGAAAACAAAATTGTCTACGAAAGTTTTCAGCATAGAGTAGAATTAGTCGCTCCTTCGACGAATGAGTATAATAACTTGGAAGATAACATTCTGCAGTGTTTGCAAACTCTTGTGTGGTCTCTGGAAATGACAAGTCAATGCGACCAATATTAACACTTGGTTCTGAAGGTTCGTACAATTTCAATACGGTTTCCTCCTCCTCCTCCTCCTCATTATCCAACCATTCCAAATCGTAGTCGCCTTCTCCCCCTGCTGATTGGTCCTCTTCCAAGTGAGACTTTTCAATTTCTTTGATTTGTTCACTCCATTTATTTGGATCGATATGAATCGTCACTTTTTGCTTTGGTTTGGGAGCCATTTCAGTGAATGTTTAGTTACCCGACTGCTTCGAAACTCAACTAAGCCAAGAAGACACAATCAACAAAAAATAAACAAAATTTGTTTATTTTTATTTATTCGTCGTCAACGTAATTTGAATTTTATTTTTTTTAATTTGACAGCAAAAACGCCATCTGCTGGTAAAAGAAGTGAAGGTGTGTACAAGGTGATATAGAGTTCAGCATTTAATTTACTTTTAAAGATAATGGATTGGAAAAATTATAAATATTACTATTATTAAATTAATTTTAATTTCTTACGGCTAACTACTTTATACGTTTTATTTACCATTAAATAGTATATGCGCTCCCTAAAAGAGATATACACGACTGATCATTCAATGTCACGACCATTTACGATGGGAAGTTAAGATATGGGCTGGATATTTTAGGTGAAATTGTTGTACTGACTTTCTGGATGTGTATTTCAACAATCATGTAAGTATAGGAGTATAAACGGGTTTGAAGTATCAAAGACTTTAAGCAGTTTTAAAGGCATCCCTATTCAAGACATCGCTATATTATCAATTTTGCTTCAAGAGTAAAGACTCTAAAGATGCAAACTAAAAGAGTTGCTAAGTTTAATGATAGATAGTTGGATTTCATATAAGTAAGTAGCTGGTTATCCTTTAGATCTTTATTTTTCTGCTTAGGCTTTCTTTATATATGTAAGATATTGTTTCAAAGCTAAATACCAACAAGGAAACGTGTTCGTTGTCTGCAAGAAGCAGCAAATCATCCGTAGATACAACGATTGTGTCTTAATTCATAACAGTTTTCTATTTCATTAGTTTTCATTTATGGATTTTATATTACAGCATTTGGGACATGAGAAGACCTTGTGGCGGATACGGCAACCACAAATAGTTTATAACACGCGAAAAGCATGATGGCAACATTGTGGTATCACAACCTAAGGATGGTATAAAAACAGAACGCAATCAAGCTTCGCTCTGTTTTGCATCCGAACCGGTAACGAGGACGCACACAAAAGTTAACAAATCCTTAATATTTCCTTATATATCATATATCTTGGGTCGAGTCAGTTGATTATAAAATATATATAATAACAGATTGTGACTGATAAGTTCGTAGGATAATACTATACACTGGCAGTTTCACTAATGAAAAACCTATATAAATTTTAAAAAGTGGCAACTTTTTGATATTTTTTAACATTTTTTCAAGTTGCTTTCGTATGTAGACAAATGTCTAAATTCAATCAATTCAAACGAGACAACTATCTGTTTGTATATATAGAATAACGTAAGCTTGAGAAGCTTTGATTGGTATTAATATTGTCTTCAATGTTTTCACTGGAGCTATTGTGTGGGTATCCAGGACGCAGTTCAGGTGATGATCACATTTAAAGTTTTATAAAAAATGATAAGAAAAAACAAATGATTATTCAAATAGGATGAAATGAATTTCCCAATTGGCTGTCATTTTATTACGGCACAACTCCCTGATAAAAAATAGTCACGTACTTTATTCTCAAGTAATAATGCATTAATGATAGATTTATGGTGTTCTGGTTTGTTGGGATATAAATTATATTATTAACCATCAAATATCGTACAAGAAAATTTATTAATACGGTCTTTATATTGTCTGTATGGGAAGACCGTATTAATACACAAATAAAGAGCGTAATATTGTGGATTTTGACCGAACCACAAAATGCGTTTAAAATTATTTGTGGGTTTGTGTATGTGATTAAAAATTACGGATTATGAAACTAATTTCACTTTTACGATATTGCATTTTTAGTACATATTTGTGAGCCATCTAGTACTGAATGTAAAAAATACTGTTAGTTAAAGAAGGTAAGAATGCAACTGATTTCAAAAAGTAGTTGAGCTTAGAACCACTAAATCTTGAACAAAAGTTTTATTTAGCAAACCTAAACGGAAAGTTTTTAAACATTTCAAGTGATTACTTTTGAAGGCCGATTATTTTCCGATTAAACACCTTTGGTTTTTATTACAATTTTGTAAATTTCAATATTCCTATAATTTTTTTTCTACCACACCACATGTCCATATACATAGAACATAGAGTTTTGAAGTTATGAACTTTAAACATTAAACGCTTTTATGAGACAGTGACATTACGGTCTTTGCACTTCCATGCGCTATCTAGTGGCAACAAATATTTATTATTTATTTTTTTATTTTACATATTAATATATTAATCACATTAATATATTATTTATAACACACACAATGATTGTCAATAATCGTATAGCTGGAATATCTGCTTTTGTTGTTCTTCATATAAATTAGACAGCTTTAAGCTTCAATATTTGAAGAATCAATCTATATCGATACAGAGTTTGATGGAAAAGTTGCATAGAGTACCAAGTTTTATAGAAATCCGTCATCAAATCGTGGTGTTTGGGAAATCAGAATCTTTTTTCATAATTTGTATACGAAAAGATTTTTCGCAAAGTTTCAATTGATTTCCTTATGAGTTGACGGAGTATTTTCTCGATTAACAAAAGCATAGTAAACTATTTTCAATCATTCACTTGCTTTTTAGCATGTTTTTAATATTTATATATGTATATTTAAAATGTACATTCTTAAGCTATATATAATTACTTATATATAATTATAATCTTAAGCTATATATAATACGGTGAGTTAACGTTTTCAAACGTTAACCTTATTATTATCATTAGATGGACTGCAAAAGTATATATTGTAATGTGTTGTAACACACTTATCAGCATATTGGTGACTATCATATTATATGTATGTATAATACGTGATATATATTCTACAAACGATAAACAAAGCAACGGGTAGATATATTATAAGTATATTAATATTAATAAGTTGCTTTAACTTGCGTTTAAGTATAAAAAAACTTCAAAAATGATTAACAAATCCACCCACGTTACTGACTTGTTAAGTCAAAGACCGTATCAGAATATAACGGTCTTTGACAGTCCTTTTACAATATTACGGTCTTTGTCTGCTGTCATAAAATACTACAATTACGGTCATTACTCATTTAAATACATTGTAGGGTTTTCTATTCCCTGTTGCATGCATATGGCGCTACATTCAATCGCAGAGCACACAAATTTTGGTTTCGATATGTGCTAACTCCAAACGAGAAGTTCTGTGGTGGAAACTCTCCCCATTACACACATGAAGGTGTGTGTATTAACTAAGTAGGAACACAATAAATGGAAGCAAACACGCAAAGAAAAAGAATTGGAAATTTCTGAATAAAATTTAATCAAAATTTAAAATACGAAAAATATAATTCCAAAGACAAATTAAATAAAAAATTTTAAAAATTAGTTAAAAATTAATTAAAATAACAGAAATTTCGTCACATTGCCATTTCTGTTCTGATGTTTTTTGTGTTGTTTTTGTTGTTATTCCATTTTGATACGGTTTTTCTGCTTTTTGTTTTTACATTGAAGCGTCGATCAGCTGCGTTTTAGAAAGTTAAGACAGCAAAAGAAAGATGAAGAGAAGAAGAAAATACAAGAACGGCACAACATAATAAGAAAGTCTTTTTTAGTTCTTCATCGACACGTCATTTGCTGCAGTGTTTCGTGGTTTTCTGATTGGTTTTGTTTACTTATTGGAATTAATATTTTAAATGAAATTCAATTTCAAAAATATATTTTAAATAAAAATGAATAAACACAACAAATCTAAAACAGCAGCCACAAAAGTGGAAAATATAGCAAAAGTTGAGGCCAAAACTATGGACGCCAAATTGTAAGTTAACTGCGCCACAGAAGACTTAAGCAACGAACTTGCATTCTAATTAACCCTCTAGTTCCCAATAGTGTTGTGATGGTGCCAATAATTATAGTTACAAGTGAATTAATATTTTGCGAAGCAAACATATATTAAATAATGATTTATAAACATTTTTCTAGAACAATTATTTATTTACTTTAAAATAAGCTTCAGTAATTTTTTGACATAAAAAGATAAACTTGAGAGTTAATTATTATGTTTTTTAATATATTGTTTTATTTAAAAAAATTAAAACATATTGTTTTTGTTGTTTTTTGTACAGAAATTGGTGGCTAATCTTCGGTGTTGTTGTCTTATTGACACTGAGTACCCGCTTTTACAAGGTAACAGAACCCGACCATATATGGTGAGTCTTTTTTGTTAGTGTTAAGTCTTACTGCTTTGGAAAAAATAAAGAAAAAGATATTATGCTTCATTTCAGTTGGGATGAGACGCATTTCGGTAAAATGGGCAGTTGGTACATAAATCGAACTTTTTTCTTCGATGTGCACCCGCCACTTGGTAAAGTGAGTATCTCTGTCCTAGCCTTCCAAAAACATTGAGTTAAACTTTGTTTTATCTCATCTTATAGATGCTTATTGGTCTCTCCGGCTACCTTACAGGGTACAATGGTACATATCCATTTGAAAAACCTGGTGACAAATACAATGGCACGAAATATGAAGGAATGCGCTATGTAAGCTATAAGAACTGTTGTCCCTTTTTTAAAATTTAATTGTAACACGGTTATAGCTCAGGGACTTCTATGTCGAAGCTGTTATTTCATGATATTTTTATTATAAAATCGCAGTACGGACTGTGGAAAGTTATAGATCGATAAACTAATGAGGGGATCTTAAACTGATTCTTCTTCTATTAACGCAATTATACTAGTTAAGCATTGAAATTCATCAATAGTCGACTTCAAGCTATCTGATGAGTGTCTCCAGCGGTCTATACCAATGATTCGAGTAACTTACTTCATAGTTTCATCTTGTTATGAGTTGTCCTCTTCTTTTCTTTGCTGGGAATATGCTTATTAAAATCACATTTGCCATTTAGTACTTCAATATATGGATAATATATTCAGCTAATTTGAAAATGATATCCTACCTATAATATGGCTTTCACTGCTGTATTTAGCCTTTCGTACCTATCTGGAAAAATATGTGGCAATATATGTTATTTTTTTTACAATATTTATACAAAATTCAGATATGCTACAGAAGTTCGATCATTTGAAATGTAAACATAATATCATGCATATAATAATACATATAACATATAAAACACATAATAAGATTTACCTATAAGGTATTCATAAGATTATCCTAGCGTATATTTACATATTGCATTAGCTATATAACTTTTTCATATTTTATTATATTTCCTTGTCTGATTTGAATAATATATCTTCTATTTTTTTAGTTCTGCACAACACTGGGTGCACTTATAATGCCGATGGCCTTTGACATTGTTCACGATATGACGCGATCCAATGTGGCGGCAGTTATATCGGCGGCCTATCTAATTTTTGGTAAGTGGTATATAAAAAGAAAAATAAAGCCTATTCTGCTAATTGTGAAAAAGTTTTCCGGAAAACAGGAATGAAATATCAATTATAAAGATCTCTTCAGATTATTAATATATGTACAATAAACTTACAATGAGGTTATAACAGTTTTACTAGGTTGTCATACCTATTAATACTAAGAAACTTAGCATCTGACAAAAGATTAAATATAATTAAATTAAAAAATTTATAATTTAAATAATTGAATTCAAAAATTTCTAATTTGCGTAAATAGCATTTATAGTAAGTTGACAGCTTATACGAAAAGTTGTATAATATTATAGTTAAGAATACCATCAGTTTTTATATTAGATATAGTCTGTGTAACCATGTCTTTATGTTAATGAAAAATCTGTTTTCCTTCAACATTTCAGCATACTAACAATTTTTATTCATTACAATTTATAAATTAAGTCCTGCTTAGCTTTATCTTGATTAGGACTGTTTCTCAACCAAGACATTGCTTTTCTTTGCTTTCATTATTATTGTAATTATTAGTAAATACAATAATACAGCACTATCTGTGAAATCTGTTGTAAATGCACAACTATTTTTTAAACAAAACATTCAAAAATAGTTCAACCTCGAACTTAAATATCAGAACTATATAAGAGCTATCCTAAGTAGTAGCTAGGCAGCAATAAAGGTTCTAAACTCTCACCAGATAACATCAAGATAAGTGATATAGTGTTTTGATGAGCTGTATATCCTAGACGAAAACAATCAGATATGGATCACATAGATTTAGGATCGCGCTATAGTTATCGTGTACGAAACAAACTTGTCAGGAGAGAAGCAGCATCGCTGTTTGTAGACCCTGACACAGAATCAACCTCTCTTCTTGTACACTCAAAACCAATCTGTGGATTGGAAAGAGGTAATTTCTTCTCACTAATTCGAAACTAAGAGAAAGATATACTAAGAAATCCATCAAAGATGACTCTATCAAAATCATTTATAGGGACGTTCAACCTTAAACGATTTTAGGTTTATATCGAACTAAGTAAATAAGATTTGATAACAGAAATTTTGACTTTAATTGTAAGTTAAACTATCATTTTGCGAAACTGGATACTTACTTTAATAAAACTTGAACGACTTGTAGGGAAGAGAACGAGATCTCAAAGAACGCCTTGATGGTATGGGTATTTTCCAGATATTGATGCAGAAGCAAAATAATAAGTTAAGTGAATGATTAAGGTTGAATACTACAATTTATCGAGGAAATCAAACTTGATAAAATATTCATAAAGGGAACGTAATAGATTTATAGGTTTCAGTGCAAAGTCCTCAATATAATAATAGTAGTATAATAATATAATAATATAATATAACAAAAATATAATAATAATAATATTAATAGTAATAATAATAAGGAATAGGAGTATATTTAAAAGACATTTTTATCTACTAAGAAATAATATCATATATCTGTACATATATATGTCATTTTCCAATACCAATTTTATATGAAAAAAAACCTGTTTTTTCTCTTCTGTGCGTTTTAAAATACACTGGATAAATAGCATATAATCCTGCCTAAGAAAAGGAGATAGAAAGCTTCCTTTATTGAAGAGTCGCAGTTTTATTCATCCATTTCCTTATTGGTCTTCCAGATAATATATAAATATTCAAAAGGTTTCTCAAAAATTTGAATATAAATTGAAATGTTGTATGTTGGACACTGCCTTAAGTGATGATTGAGATTAGCTCCTTTCTTTACCTGAACCTGGATTTTTTTCTTAACTTTGCTTTATACAGATTTTATTTGACTTCTAAATAACAAACCATAAAATACTTGCCTTTCCACTATAATGAATCGAGACTATGGTATTTAGTAATGTTAATTAATTTGTTAATTAAATCAAAAGTTAATCAAGGAAATATTTGTTAATTTATCAATGCAAGTATATTTCTAGTTCAGTTGCTTAGTTAAGGGAAAGACCAATAAGTGTCCAATAATAAATAATGATATTTAATTTATCGAATTATAGATTGATTTTTTTCCAAAGTGTTTAATTAATTAAAAATTAAATGAAAAATGTTAATTTGAATGACAAAATTTAAATTGATTAAATATTCGCAGATGTGGGTATGCTGACACTTAATCAGTACATACTCCTGGATCCGATTTTGCTGTTTTTCATGACAGCCTCTGTGTGGGGCATGGTGAAGGTGTCAAAAACTACAAGCAACGGAGCTTCGTATACGTTCAGTTGGTGGTTATGGCTACTCTTTACTGGTACTATGATATCTTGCACCATCAGCGTTAAATTTGTCGGACTCTTCGTTGTCCTGCTGGTCGGCTTGAATACAGCCAACGAACTGTGGATTATCCTGGGTGATTTACGTAAGCCAATTGTGAGTTTTATGTCATTCTTTTCAATTAATTGCACACAAAAAGAGCATGGAAGCTGGCGTACATATCGAACGTTTCCGTGTAACAAAATAAACTGTTTTCATTAGTTTCACTCCTCTGCTTCTGCTTCTGGTCCTGCTCCTGCTCCATTTCCTTACTCTTCTGCTTATACTTTACACTTTACGCTTTTCCATTTCCCTTTCAGCTGGAGACTATTAAGCAAATTGTCTGTCGTGCGTTGACATTAATTTTATGGCCAATCCTGCTGTACATGGTCTTCTTCTACATTCACTTGACTGTGCTTAATCACAGCGGAAACGGCGATGGCTTCTACAGTTCTGCATTTCAGTCTCGTCTCATCGGTAATAATTTGTATAATGCAACATTGCCACGAAATGTGGCATATGGCGCGCTTGTAACTATCAAGAATCATAAAACTGGAGGAGGATATTTGCATTCGCATTTTCATCTCTATCCGAAAGGTGTTGGAGCCAGACAACAGCAGGTAAATTAATTTTCCTATTAGTTGATTTTATTCAATATTTAAGATGAGAATTTATTGAGACGTATCTATTGATTTAAATAATTTATTTATAATTTTTACTGTAATACCATGTTCTGTTTGCATTCCCTACAACCAAAATAGAGTCAGACTTATTAATTCTAGTTGACATTTCAGTATCTAGCCGCCTCATGCCTTTATTGAGAGATATTAATTGGGAATGGTGCAGTATGTATTTTTAATAATTGAAACTCCGGAATGTACTTAAGTGTAAACATTCTCTCTTCCTGAATATGTGCTTTATGCATTTCACTACTGGCATTTAAGTTTATTCCATAAAAATGTGCATTTGAATGTTCTCTTTTATGTCGAAATTGATTTTTATTGAAATTTTGTTAGTAATGCGAACTGGAACAAATTTTTGGGGCATTAAAAGCATGGAAGTGGCTATTTCAATTAGTCATCCTCTGGGGTGATGGCTACATCACCTTAATTGAAAACTAACCACGCAACCACAATTACCCAACAAATTTACTACAACACACAACGTCGATAACTCACAGACCAAGTAATTTCATCAGATAACTTTTTAACTGCTATCACTCTGCAAATAAAAGATACATTGTGAATGAAAAAACTTTTCTCTAGGTATGCAGATACACGTTCACTTACAGAAAATAGTGCTACGATACACTGAAATATGAGTCATCTGTTATTAAGCGAGTAATCGAATAAATTATTTAAGCTTTCAATGGAAAAAAGCTTATCTTTAAAAATAAATCCTTTAAACAATCTCAGAACTTCATTAGAAAACATAAAAACCATGGACTTAAGAAGAAATGAGGGCTGCTTATTTGGAATAGGCAGGCTATTTTAAAATGACTCTGGTATAGGTAAATGCTAAGGAAAATTCAAAGAATATGTTTAGTATTCACTTAATTTTAAATATTTTTTTAATTTTTATATTGGAAAATTAGTGCTTTTCGCTATATTATTTTCATCTGAAATTTATATTCATCTGAAAATTATTTATTTGAGCAACTCTTCAGAAAATATTCAGCTCATTTTCTGTATTGTGAATAGTAAATTAATGGAGTTGGTAACAGTTAGCATATCTACTGCCCCCTCTTAGAGGAAAAAAAATTCAATGTATTGTAAAATCTTCCTTTTCTTGATTAATGACAGTAGAGATATTGGAAAATCTTCCCCCCATAGTTTGAGTTCTTCTTAGGGAAACTTAAGAATTATTGGAAGTGGACTATTTATTTTTCATAGATGCTCTGAATATCTCTTAATATTATTGTTATTCGGAAAATTATTTGATCGGGATGCTACTCCCGCTGGAAGGAGGTTAAAATATTGTTGCGGTAAGCAATGCCTGTCCTAGAATGCGATTAAAATTCAGAAGGCACCATCTGACACTTTTTAACGTATAATTGTTTTGTGAGTGGGTTCAATTTGTGGCACTCGACTTGAGTTGTAAATATGATACCATGGGTTTCAGGACCCATAACTTTGTTTGTCTTGACCACAATTAACATAATTGAGGCCACTATGAGACTCGTGGAATTATTGGACTGGCTGTTTTCATTACTTTCATTCGATGTGGAACTGTATTTTATAACCAGGTAACTATATCCAAACATATAGTTTTAATTGGTATCGGCGAACTTCTTTAAAACTCCAACAGAGTCGTTTATCGTTGCATTTTACTGATAAGTGCGTTCAGAGCATCGCGGCTTTAATCCTTAATATCAGTTATTTACGTTAGACTACTACTAGTCCACTAACTCACTAGATACTGGGCAACAATGGGCTTCCCGTGATACTGCGTCCATTGTTGAGCTATTACATCTTCTCGTTATAACGCCATCACCGTTTTCTACTTTTTTCATTACTCAATTTAAAATTTTTTTTTTTGAAGAGATATTTTCGATTTTTGAAGTGCTTGTAGCACTTATAAGGACTCCAAGTAGAGTTCTTATAAGAAAGGACTCTACCTGGATTGGTGTAGCCACCGACGCGGTTTAGTGTGTATCTTCGTTAGTTCAGACTTCAAATGTCTGATTCATTTCAGCATCAAAATGAAATCTTAGGTATTTTTGATATATTGATATATGAGTTGGCTAATGTTATTTGGATAGTTGTTGTTGTTGGTGATAAGAGAATAACACAGAATAGACATATACCATACATAAACATGTAATAATATTAATATATCTTTCATAGCAAGATATCGAGCATTTTAGAACTCTAAAGTGTTTACTTATTACCGCCATTACCCGCACTATTAATTTTCGTGGTACTACAAATCAAATTCCATGTATAGATTTTTACTGCCATCCACTAAAGTAACTATATAACTAAAGAGTAACTTAAGAGTAACCCATTATTTTTGTTGTTTCTATGTCGTCTCAAAAGTAAAAGAGCAAAAATAATAAATACAAAGCCTCGAAATTGGTGGTACTTGTATGACAAGTACAAGGAAATAAAGCAAAAAGGAACTCCAATGGATTTAATTAATTCTAGTGTCGCACGGCTTTTGGTCAGTGCATGAGGTTACAGCTCAATTGGCTTTTTAATCCTGTTTAAACAGTGCCTCTTAAACGAAAAAAGCAGTGACTTTTTCCTGCCGCTCCTTGCATTGTTCAGTCTGTTCAGTCCGTATGTGCATGCCACATTCTAAACCAATATCCTTCGAAAAGTTTGCCCGCTCCTTTTTGTCATTTTATTACAGTCTTTACTTTGCTTACTCTTTTTTTGCTTAATATTTTTTTTAATTTTTTGCATACACGCTTCTTTGCTGCCTTCGCTCTATGGGTTTATGGGTTTATGGCTCTATGGCTCTATTGTTTATATTGAAACTGGCATTTCTTCGATTAGATTACCACATACACACACAAGGACGATAACAACAAATGGCTTTTGAAACCGTACAATAAGGAAACCGTAACTGATTTGAAATTACTGAAAAACGGCGATCAAATACGTTTGGAACACGTTGCCACCAAGAGGAATTTACATTCGCATGCTGAACCGGCGCCAGTGACCAAAAAACACATACAAGTGACTGGTTATGGGGATGTAAGTGGTTCGATTCCTATACAAAAAAGTATTTGTATATGAAAAATTTATTTGATTTTTCTTTAATTATTTTGTCTTGTAGAATGGAGTTGGCGATGCAAATGATATTTGGAGAGTTGTCATTGTTGGTGGCAAAGTGAATAACACAGTGAAAACGGTTACAACCAAAGTCATGTTCATCCATGTGCTTCAGAATTGCGCTCTTACTGCAAGTGGAAAGCAGTTACCAAAGTGGGGTTTCGAACAGCAGGAAGTATCTTGCAATCCAAACTTACGCGATAAATACGCCTATTGGAACTTTGAAGACAATCATCATAAAAAGTGTAAGTATTAGTGGACGTTTGATTATTTGGTTGTAGTGGCAGGCCACACAAATAACTTTCTATTGACTTCAATTAGCGATTAGTGAATGAGTTGGATTCCATTTTATTCGTTAATGTTGTACATTATTACCCGAAGAAATGCGAAAGCGGTTTAGTGGGAAATAAGTGTCTCTAAAGAGAGAGTGTTTAAGTCTGTATACTACATATTAATATGTTAGGCACACCGTTCCGACGATGGCAGTCCCTCTGTTCATCACAAACCTTAAAAAATATTGTACATTATAACAAAAGGTTATGATATAAAAGATATAAAAAGAGCACAATATTTCAGGATATATTTTTATGAAAATATTCTTCTTTAGCGCAGCTTGACGGAGAATTTTATTTTGTACTCTCTGGATTTTTTCTATATTTGTGTACTGTGGTGGTGGATTTCACGCTGAACACCACAGTTCTATACCATAGGTCCAAAGTGACTTTAATATTGACTTGTAAATTAACAATTTGTTATCAAGACTGTGTTTAGAGTTGCGATTTAAAAGCCAGTACAATTCCTTATATTTAAGATTCAATTGACATCTTTTGGGTTCAACATGACTTGTCCACGTGAGCCTTCTATCTAGATGAATTTCCATATATTTCACAGAATGTGATTCAGCTATAACCTCATTAATAATTTTAACAGCAGTGCATGTTTCTCTGTAAAAGTTACTTGAACGCATTTAGTTTCATTCACCTTGATTCTCTATTTTGCAAGCCTTCAAGCCTTCTTCAATCAAACCAAGATGCCTGGATAAATTATGTGAAGCTATAGTGCAGTCACGATCGGTACTGACTATAGCATTGTCGTCAGCGAACGTTGTCAGCAAATTGTTTGGGTATTGTGGAATGTCAGCTCCATAGATTAAGTATAGAAACGACCTAAGAACACTACCCTGAGGAAATTCAACGTTTATGTCGTACTCTTTCGAAGTAAAAGATTTGTGTCTAACCTTATATTTTCGTTGAGTCACGTAGGATTTTAGAAGTTTATGAACGTTTACTGGAAGCGAGTGCGTTATATTAAATAAAAGTCCTTTAAGCCACACTTTATCAAATGCTTGCGCTGCATCAAGAAAAACTGCTGTACAATATTGTTTTGAGTATAAAGCTAAGTGTATTTCGTTAGCTATTCTAAGGACCTGTTCAATTGTTGCATGCCTCTGCGAAATCCATATGGATGGTCCGGAATTAAGTTTTCTATCGATGAGGAAATCAGAATTTATTTTATTAGAAGTTTTTCGAAAATTTTGAAATTTGTAGTAATAGATTTATTGGTCGATATGATGTAGCAACTGAAGGATCTTTTCCAGGCTGTGGGATCATTTTAATCGACGATGTTTTCTAATACGTCGGGTAGTACCCAAGTGACAAAATGTTGTTAAAAATGGTGAGAATTAAGACGATCGCTGTGTGCGGCAAGTTTTTAATCATTTTCCCATTTATTTGGTCTTGCCCAGGCGTTAATGTTAGTTATAACTTCTTTCAATTCCGAAAACTCTATAATTGGAGGATTTTCTACATTTGTTTTCTGTATTGATCTTCAGTAGATACCTATAAAGGGGCAACGTAAAAGCTGTCTTTTTCTAATATGGTAGTTAAAACCTTACCTAGTTCATTTGAACTTTTTTCTCTTGGCGGTCAAGTTTTATGACATGAAGTCACACCTTCATATATTTTATATTTATTTTATATTAACACTCTAAAATATTTTATAATTTCTTTAACTAATTTTAATGAATTTCAGTGCCCAAAGTGAACTTTAATGTCTACGCACCAGGATTTTTTGCGAGATTTATTGAATCGCACGCTGTGATGTTTCAAGGCAACGCTGGACTTAAACCGAAAGAAGGAGAAATTACCAGCAGACCATGGCAATGGCCTATTAATTACCGGGTATGTATGAGGGAATATTAAATGCACTCAATGAATGAGTATTGTCTGTGCGTAAAGTAAGTAGCAACGTTCATATATTTTTTCTCTTCATGCAAAAAAATAGACGAAAAACTTAGTAATACTTTTTGGTGGAGGGGGGAAAAACATATGTAGAATATAAGCATTTATTTTAAATGAAAAAAGTTGTTAGAAGTATATTTATGGAAGTGTTCGGAAATTATTCAGTATTCGAGCAATAAAAGTTTCTTTTAGGTTTTGTGATTCTGTGCGTGTAATATAAATTTGACAAGGATTTTCTTAAATTGAAATTGATGTGTCGTTTGAATGACCTACAAGGCAGTAATTGAGAGTATTTCGGAGGGATGTCGAAATTTAGTATGTTTTGTCTTACTAAACACTATTGAGTTCACAGATATGGTTTGGTATAGCTAAAGTGTAGAATACTAAGTGGATAAATGAAATTGCACTGAAATGGAAAGATATATTTTTTGTGGTATTTATTATTTTGATATATGACCACAGTATGAAGTATTTGGTTAAATTTTTATTATATTTGATTTTTATGTTATTTTATATACAAATGAAGATCTATGGTTGTTAATGCATTATAAACACAAATTGATTAATGGCACCAACAATTTTGAAATTAATTTATTATTTTCATTTTCTTTTATTGGATGCAAGACATTTTTACAGACTTAACTAACAAAAATAATTTTCTAGTATAGATAATGGATGAACAGTTTTCAATATAGTCTCACTTGAAGTAAAACCTTTGGATATACAATGACTACGGTTCAAGACTAAAAAGGCCTGCTTATAAAGAATCTGGTAGATATTCCTTGAAAACAATAGACTTCTAACAATAGACTCCTAACAATAGACTTCTAACAATAGACTCCTAACAATAGACTTGTGTGACTATAGACAGAACAAATATGTTATTGTCAATTTAGATTTTCTGTAAAATTCTATAATTTTTGTAAATGCTGTATGAATTTTTTGAATCAATAATAAACAATAGTAATAGACTTCTATTGTAGGGAAATAAAATGGTAAACTTGATGCTAGAATTACAATGGGTCTGCTGAAAATGAAGATTTCAATTTAAAATTTATTATACCATATATTGATATGTTTTAATTTATTATTGTAACTCTATATTCTGTGCTAGTAAACATACATATATAAGCATTCATGGAGTAACTAAGAGTTCTTAATGAGTAATAGGATGCTTTCTTTCTATCTTTAAGTGATAAAGAAATATGTATTTTGCCACATATATATTACAAACCCCGATGTAGCCTATTTTTGCTATAAGGAGAATGAATATAATAAATTTTCAAATGTCATAAGTCATGGTTAAAACTTGCTTTTATTTCTATTATTGAAGAAATATTGAATATATATTATTTTATAATCAAAATTATTATTATTATGTCGTATTGATCGTATTGGTCAAATTCGTTAAACTAAGGCTTTAAAATAATAAAATAACTTAAATTATTTCTCACTTGTTTTTATTTAGTCTAAACTCATGTTTAGGAAACAGAAGTTGAATATAATTTACCAATTTACCCAATACACCACAATAGAGATAATTAATGAAAATTGTTGGAGGAGAAAGGAATACTTCTTTTGTTACCTAGTTCGAGCCAAAACTACAGCTGGTTTCTTAAGCAATTATGTATTAATTTATGTCATAGCTCTAAGGCATGGACCTTTGCCTGGAATTTCAGTCCTATAATTCCTGCTCCTATACTGCTATCTTCCATTTTGGACCCATCAGTGTACAAGTGCTTTAAAATAATTCCGTCATTTCTCCAAGTTGATCGGTCACTGATAAAAACTTCAATTTGTTTTGGACTATTACTTTATATTGAAAAAATATATTAAAATAATATATATATTAAATATATTGATATATATTATATATTAAGCTTTATTATAGATGAGTGTTGGGCTATTAGTCAGATTTTTTTGATTTGGCTTTTTAATAAAAGTTTTTTATTGTTTTGTTTATTTAATATATATTTCCGACGTTTCGATTTTTTTTTATTAAAAAACCAAATCAAAAAAATGTGACTAATAGCCCAACATTCATCTATAATAAAGCTTATTAAAATAAGTCAGCATATATAAAATGGATTATATATTAAGTAGCAAACAAAGTAATAGTTAATAAAGTAATATAAACAAAATATTATCAAATACATAAATTGGTTAATTTAACAATTTCAATAATTTAATTAACATAATTTATATGTTATATTAATTAATAGTTTATTTAACAATAAATATAAGATTATAAGTTAATTATTATTGTACATTGTATGTTTTCAACTTTTCAACAGAATATCTTTATAAGGACTTCTATAGTATATCCTATATTATATCCTTTTGATATTAAAAACATAAATTTAATATTTTTCATCATAATTTAAAATAATAAATATTAATTTTATTTTTATTTTCCATCCCATTTGCTGTTAATAATTACTTCCGTCAATGAACACAAATTGCATTGTTGTTTGACTCTAAAAATTATAACACCGTTCTATAATATACTCAACAACAACAACAACAACAACAACTACTACTACTACGACTACTACTACAACAATAACATTAAATTATAAAACAACAACAAAAACAATGATGATGTAACAGGGCCAATTTTTCTCGGGTAGTGTTTATCGCATTTACTTGTTAGGAAATCCAATAATCTGGTGGAGCAATCTAGTTTTCCTGGCGCTCTTTTTAATCGTTTTCTTTGTTATGGCTATTAAGGAACGTAGGATGGCGGGGCAACGCCTATTACAGGAACGACTGAAACAACTTCAAGTAGAACAGCGTCAAAATCAGAAGTCGAAACAGGACGAACAACAACAACAACAGCAACAACAAGAGGAAGAACAACAAGAAGAACTGGCAAGCAAACAAGAAAAAGAAAACACTTTTAATGAATTTCCAAAAGGACATGTCGCCTGTGAGGCACTTGAACCGGATGTGGACAATTCTGCTGTTAATAATAAAAATGGAAATGAAAACGGTAAAATATTGCTAACTATTCTTACTTAACACTCATTAAAAAAGGTTATTATTCACTAAAGAAAAAAAAACATGAAAAAATAAAACAAAAGAGGAAAATAATTATAAAAAGTAAATAGAAATGAAATATCGCATGAGCAACTTTTCATTGCAGTTTTAAAAATTTTTATATTAAAAATGGATGGACTTGCTTCCAATTTGGTGATGCAGTAAAAAAAATTTAAATTTTTTAATTTTTATTATCTTCACCGCGATAGGAGAGATATATTAACCTTGTCACTCAGTTTGCAACGGAAATAGAAAAATATAGGGCAGATTACGTATATTTTCTTGAATATTGCGAAAGAATAAATCTATTTAATGAAATAGTGTATTTTTCTCAAAGGTCAGATCATAACTTATCTGTTCTGATCTGATGACCGAAACTTCAATAAATTGTACAGGAGAAGAGCTGACTTAGATTGTGTGACCAAACTTCATAATAGATAAATAGCTGTCCAAAAACTTGTTATAGTTAGGTAGGTCTAAGGTATTAGATATAATATTGTTATTTAATTTATTATTTTGGTACCATGAGTTTAAAATTTTTGTTCGTTAGATTGAAAATTATTAAATTCTAAAACATAAAAAATTTTGAATAATAATTAAATTCTAATTAAAAATTATTAATATAATTAAAACAATAAAAGTTGTTATATTATATATTAAGTCGTTATTAGGTTTGGTTAGTTACTTGACACAAATGTCGGATATCATCCAATTCTATACATAAATCTGCTCTTCATCAGTATGGGGTGATAATTGTCTATCGGGTTATCTACCCGCCTGTCAACTTGTCAACCAGTTTATCTACTTTAATTCTCTACCTCTCTTGATTTTCTGTCGTAAGTTTGAATCGCTGCAGATAAACTTATTAGAAAAATTAGCACAGAGTCTTTGAGACACACCAGTAACAGTTTGTGTAAGAATTTTTTATAAATCCAGATATACTATAGTTATATACTATAGTTCGCATACAAATTTATTTTTAAAACCATCCTTTAAAAGATATGAATAGTGCTATGGTAACAATTTATTACTATTGTTGAGGCGTACTTAAAAGATATTAAGAGAGACGTGTACGGGTTAACTGAACCAGCGTTTAGCTCCCATAAAAATACGGTGTAATATAATATTATCTATGTTAACTGATGAGGTTTTGTTCGCTTTCGTTTGCATATAAAATAATTATCAAAAATAATCCCTGTGTGAAGACTAATTAAAAAGTCGTAAAAGCCCAATATTGCCTCATCAACTGATCGAGTTAGATATTTTAAGGGAAATAATTGTACCGTCAACGCACCTCATTAGCAGTGACTTACGGAAGGTACTTCCTCTTTCGTAGAACTGTGAGTCTAGAGAGTGATTAAAAGAATTTCCATTTAAATATATAGCTATCTTTGTAATCATTTGTAGTCGTAATAAGTGTAAGTAGGTCTTGCAAAAAAATATTTAGTTGGTGATCAGACATCGTTGAATGAAATATAAATAAAATTTGAGATAACTTTATTAAAATGTATGCAGAGAATATTTAGAAAATTCAACTGTGAAACATAAGATTTCTAAAATATTTTTTTTTGTAATATAAAATCTTATTTAACTATTAACTGATGTAGGAATCGTGGTTTTGAAGTATATATTTTTGGCTTATATTAGAATTTTTTAATTAAGCTTTTTTATAATTGAATTTTTCTGTAATCTCTTATATCTCATTATATGTTATAATATACATATATTAAGAATAATATACACAATATATTAAAAATTATTATACATTGTGACCGAAAAGTTTCCGGTCATAAATAAATAAAACGCAAAATTCTTAATCTTCATCAATATATTTATTTTATCTCCTTCAAAATATGCTCCATTAGAAGCGATACACAAATGCCAACGTTTCTTCCAATCATCAAAACATTTTTTATAGGCGCTTTCCGGTATGGCTTTGAGTTCCCTCTGCGAATTCTGTTTTACGTCTTCTATGGATTCAAAACGCGTTCCTCTGAGTGGTAATTTGAGGTTGGGAAACAGGAAAAAGTCACACGGTGCAAGATCAGGTGAATACGGTGGCTGTTCGATGGTATTTATTGAATGTTTGGCCTTAAAATCGTTGATAATGTTGAACAAATTGAGGTGAATCGGAACAAGCCGGGCGTTGACACGTCGCATACACAAATTGTCCACCAAAATCAAACGAGCCATCTCACGACCGATGCCTAGCTCTCGTGCTATCTCTCTAACACTCACATGAGGATTTTTGAACACGATTTCCTTTGCCTTTTCAATGTTTTCGTCGGTGGTAGAGGTCGAAGGTCGTCCAGAACGCGGCATGTCTTCGACGGTCGTACGACAGTCCTGAAAGGCTTTGTACCACTCATAAACTTGAGTTTTCGATAAAACTGATTCCCCATAAGCCTTTTGTAGCATTCGCAACGATTCTGCACACGAAATTTCGTTCGAAAAACAAAATTTGATGCAAACTCTTTGTTCAATATTTTTTTCCATTGTTTTTTTCGCAACGCACTACTGAGGTGAACTGGTTTCAACAGCTGCCGTAAACGAACTGTCCTGACAGATCGCGCCTCATTTTTGGCATAGTAATTAAGGACAGTGCTGCCAAAACTACATAAACTTAAAATATCGAAAAATATACAGCGCGCGAATTTTAAATGAGAACCTCCGAAAACCTTTCGGTCACAATGTAATTATAATTATATATTAAAATAATGGAATATGTTATAATCGCAATATATATAATATAATAATATACTAATATACTGTACTTTTATATAATATACAATATATATAATATAAAAAAAAAATAATAAATTAAAATAAGATTTAAAAAAATGTGTATTATGAAAGTGCTAGCTAATAGCGCTAAAAACACGGTATAAATTTGATACATAAAACCTCTTTATTTATATTATCAGTTATAAGAAAAGTCTATAATTTTAATACACTATATTTTTTATTTCATTAAATCATAAATCGTCATATAAATTTATGAGTTTTTTAAAATTTTAATTAATTTAAAATAAAACAAATAAATATATAAATGTTTTTTATATAAACAAAAATTATATTCTTAACATTTCTCCCCATTTTATTTGATTTAAACGAATACAACCTTGATGAGTAGTGAAGCATCATGTAAAATATAATTTTAATTTACAAAAAAGTATAAATAATTTTTGTGATTAATAATAAAATAAGAGCATAAAGTACCATTAGCTTTTTTAAAATTTAAATAAAATTTTTAATTTTTTATTCTTTTGCAGGTTCCCAGAGAAGGTCACTCAAAGCAGCCACCTGGTTGTTCATTGGTTGGGCGCTTCATTATTTTCCATTTTGGGGGATGGGACGTGTGCTCTATTTTCATCATTATTTTCCAGCTTTAATATTTAACTCCATGTTAACAGGTGAATTCATATAAGAACAAAAAATATTAATTACGTTGAACAAAGCTCAAAACATCAAGTAATGCCAAAGATAAAAAAGTATTCTCAACAGTTTTAGCACCTGAACATAGGGTTTTCGGATAGAGAAATTGGTAATTTTGTAATATTTAACGTGATTTCTATGTGATAAGCTTCTTGTCTATCCATCCTAATTAATATACAATTTAGTTTATGACGTTGAAAATCTAAGCAATTAGTTGCAAAATATTGAAATCTCTTCAATATTTTAAAGAGAAATTCATTGATCATGAACATTTCTTTTTTATTACCTATTGTCTATTTTCCCTTCGAAATATTCTGATTAAAGTATAAATCAAGTAATTTTCTTAGGACTATGAATATATATTATGGAATTTTGATAAAGTATCATATAAACAGAATAACGATCGTACAATGAAACTAATAAAAATAGGCTAAATTATATTATACCAGCGGTTCTTTAGGTGATTTACTTAGGTTTTGCGTCTATCGTACGAAATACCATATAAAAATGAAATATATAAAAATAATAACTGCAGAATTAATTAAAATAGGTTATGTTAGCTTATACCGGCGATCTTCTAGGCGATCTATTACAATCTTGCGTCTATTGTGATATGTTATAAAATACCGTGTAAAAAAAATAACAGTGGTAGAATTAATTAAATGATATAGGTTAGGTTATATCGGTGATCCTGATGATTAGATGATTCACTTCGGTCTTTGGCCCATTGTGACATCTAACAAAACTTAAACCTTGTACCCATGGCAAAACCTTAAATGTTCTTTAAAGACATATCTTAGAGCTGACTAAGATACTGTGAAACGTAGGAGCTTGGCACGATAAATTGTCGATGCCATAATGCGCAGACTATGTTAAACCTGGAGGGAGACATTTTTTACGTCTTTTCTAGAATCGCGACAGGTATCACAAAACGTATTTAATTTAATTGAAGCAAAATTTACTAAAACAAGAAAATTTATATAAAATGATTGAATTGAAATTGTATTCCCAGGGTAGCAACCATCTGGCCCACGAGGTGGATTGTTTTTAGTCCGTACAAACCGAGCATACTATGTTACTATTGTGACAGCATAGTGACAATGCGTTTGCCATTTTTAGACCCTTTTTCCGCACAGAGAAAAAACCTAATCTCACGTTTTTATTAATATGAATACACAGTATCGATATGTTGTAATATTACATCTAAATATATAAATAAAATTAATAAAAAGTAGTCTGCAGTTTATCTAACATTATATGGAATAGATTACCTTTTTGTGGGATCTTTAATTTGAACAGTTGAAGGCGGCTAATTTCAACTCATTCCACTATCTTTTCTAAAATGTATTAAATTTATTATAATATCAAATATAAATATCCCCTGTAACCATGCAGATGCAACAAAAACCCAAACGTATGGAATATTGGAGGTGATGAAGAGTTTTATTGAATGCAACAGAGAAAGAAGAATAACATATATAAAAAAATATCAAATAAAATGAATTTTTGAAAGTTATAAGCAAATACGAATATCTATATGGAAATTGCGAAATATCTACGGCAAACTCACGCAGGACCGCATGAGTTCCTATGTAAATGAAGGGAGCACACGTGCAGATGAACGCAAAGGACGCAATCACAACAGCAGAAATTTCAATTTAAAATGGCTGCAAGGATTTTTGCGAGTGGCGAATGCTCGGTGCGCGAGCCGAAATGTAAATTTAATAAATTTTTCAACGGCGTCAAGTAAAACAGCGTCAATGAAATGCAATAAATTCGAAAGGAAATTCGCTATTAAAGCAAATTTAATCTATAAAATATATTTAAGTGCCAAATTAGGCATGAAACCGGCAGAATATTTTGCAATTTTATTGAATTTCACGCACTGCTGCAGGCGCCTAATTTTCACCAGCTCTGCTATAGACCCAGAGCAGATCGGACGGGAACTTTGGTGGTTTTTCTGCATTGTTTTGTGTAAAAAATTCAACCACCATACTCCCCAACCCCGCAATAATTGTCTTTAAAAATAAAGTGCACTGTGTGTGGGGTTTGTGGGGGTTTGAGAGTACGGGAACATCAATTAGTAAAATGGTTTTGAATAATTTGGAGTTTAGAGTTTCGAGTTTTGTTTTAACGCTTAGCATAGACAGCTAAACAATTTAGAATTTTATTTCGTTTTATTATTTGAAATTTTTGCAGCATTTTTGTTGAATTCCTGCCGTTGTTAATTTTAGAAAATTTTGTTTATTTTTAGGTGTCATGTTCAACTTTTTAACTGGCTGGTTGCCAAGATGGCTGCAGCACGCACTGCTCGGTACTCTGCTGTCGATATTGGCTTACAGCTTCATACTATTCTCGCCGCTTGCATACGGAATGAGCGGACCGACTGCTAATGAGCCCAATTCGACAATGCATGGCCTGAAATGGCTACCAACGTGGGAATTTTAATTAGTTTTTTTTTCTTCTCAATTTTCAACCTCTACTGATACCGCACTACAAAATTTCGTTTTGGACTATGCGAAAATGATCTGACATGCCCTGTGAATGCCAATGCTATTATGTATCGCATTGCTAAACGTATTAATATTTTTGGTTCCATTTCTGCCGGCATCAGTTTATCCATAATTAGGAAACCATAAATGCTTTAGGATTTTGTCATGGGCAAAATCAAACTTGATGGACTTCACTATTTGTTTTACGACCGCTGCACTTGTCGTCATGATAGCTAAAACTGCATCTGATGCTTCAGTAATTTTGTTACAAAATGCTTCCATTAGACAATTAAGGATTAGTACATATGAAGATATTGCCTCAACATATTTTTAAATTGACATCATCATAAGTATGAATTTTTTATAAAGTTTCATCATATTACAATATGATATGATTATATGTATGATTTTATCATTTTATAATTTTTTATAGATTTTAATTTATTAATAAACCGACTGATTTTTAATTCGTCATTAAAACATTATTTTTTAAAAGTAATTTATTTTAAGTAAGACTTTTATGTTTTCCAATAGGAAATCTATTTTAAATAGGAATGGGAGTATTAATAAAAAAAATTTTTTTTAAATTTGCAATATTTTTAGGAATACTAAAAAATTTTTAAGAGTTTTATTCAACTGAATTTTTGGAGTGTCAAATACCTTTCAACCCTTTTCAGAACCGCGAAATATCCATTATCAGTGGTCTTTGGAAACATATATTGATGTGATTGCACTTACATAATTGGATTACATGGGTCAGAAACTAAAACCTATTAACCGTGTGTAAACAGATGAAGTCAATATAACTAATTTAACTGTTTAAATTATTTACTATACAATTAATTTAATAGTAATATATTTAAATGCAGAGTTTTAATAATTTTAATCATTAGCAATTATTTCACTTGCTGTGCAGTGTATTCTAAACATATAAATATGAATTATAGACTAAATTAATGATATAAATTTTATACTAAATAAATAATTTATTTTATAATAATAATAACAATTTAAAACTAATGATACTTCCAATAGAGCAAAAGAAATATGATCTCAATAGCACCTTGATGTTAGAGGTCCAAGTGCCCCACAACTAAAAACACTTCATTCTGCATAACCTCATATTTTAAATGTATAAGTTCAAGCCTGGGTTGAGTCCAGTTGGTATCAAACAGTATATACTTCACGCTTTATTGTTTAGAGACGTAAATAGTTATGTCTCACTGTTCAGTATTATGATATACGATTTTGTATGGTAGCGTGTAGATATATATCTTTCTTTTTATATAGGGAAAGATAACCAGCTTATTGAAAAGAGCACAGAGTGAAGAACCTTCACTTATCTATCTCGTTAAATAGTTTTAATGCTTTGTTCTTTGATGGACTTTTCAACAATGATGATTTGCAGATTTCTGTAAATGTTAATTTATATTTTTTAATTTTTATAATAATTATATATAAATTTGAATATTAAGTCAGTTGATTTAAAACATCACTACCACTACACTTAGGGACTGTTGTATAGTAGTTAAAGGGTCGTTTAAGTTGGTTTCAGTGATAGACCCCACTACTTAATCATTACTTGATCATATCATGTGATTAAGTAACTACAATCCCAAAACAAAATAATATTATTGATATTCGTATATCAATCAATTTCGCAGTAACTCATGAGCATCGGGAATGTGAGAATGAATTAAATTAATATTATTAAAGTCGAAATAAATAAGAAATTAAATAAAAATTGTTATGTCACATTTAATTTGAAGTGCAATTTTGGTTTCAATCGAATTATTGCGAAAATATTATTCCACATTTTCCATTTACATTCCCGTTTCAATTTCCTCGATTTCTCGAAATGAATCAGGCCCAGTCAGACCTTCACAAAATAAACAGTGCATTGGATTGCGTAGTTAGAGTGGAGAAGTGATTGGAGCAATGATGTGATGGCTGGAGCATTGATTGCTGGAGTCGTAAGCATGATGTTAATAAAAGGAAAATGTACAAATAAAATAAAAACTCAGTCGAAACCTACAAAATAATTATATTGAAATTCATCATCTGTCTGTGTAAGCGGAAAACCAATCAGCGCTGTCAACACCAAAATTATTTAATTTCATGAAGATTTCACCGCTTGAAATACTTTCAGCGAATTTTTTCACAGTAAATTGTGTAGCCTGTAACCTCAGATATTAAAAATTTAAATTTTAAATTTTTGATTGCATATTAATATCTTAAATAATCTTCCATTAAAATCACTATCAATTTTTTTATTTTATTGGACTGAAATTGAACACAAATTGTCTTTATAATTATTTTTCAAGAAATATAATGTTAGACTAAACAATATCAAAGAAATTGTGGCATATCAATTTCCTAATGAATTAAAAAATTATAGAAATATTGCCAATAATTCCAGAGTGATGCTTAACTTAACATATAATTAGTTAATCTAATTAATAAGGTTCGCTGATAGCGATAGTGCTAGAAAATAATGTTTTCGAAGTCTTGAAGAGAATTTCCAAGTTTCCTTGGTGTATTTATCTATTCAATTGAAATCCACTGATTTACATACTTATGCTAACACTTAGTGAAAAATAAATTTTAATTTAAATTACCGTTTTAAAGTAAAATATTAATTTCACTATCTGTATAGATATATACCTAGTCGCCTTTCAGGCGTGAACCTCTGTTTAACGAATAGCAATGCGACTGCTTAACAGTGTAGTGTGACACATTCTCCTATCTTATCTGCTTATGTGTCCAGTGTCAATGAATATCACATTGATAAGGAGAAGGTCCATAGTGTTTTTCAAAGGATATTAATAGGTTGTGAATACAGCTTATTTGGGTTCAGGTTAACTTAGGATAATCTAAGCACTATTTGCTCTAAGTCTAGGTTAATTAGATTATCCTAAACGAATAGAGATAATAATGCTTAGAGCAAGATGTGTCATTATTGTAATATAAATAATATATAAATAATCAAGCAAATCAAAATTAGTATATATTTGCAACCATACGTATTTGAAAAACTTAAATTTTTCAAAATTTAAACATTTAATTTAAAACAAAAGCAAAATGCTTTACGGATAGTGGTATTTGAAAGCCAATATGTGTGGATGTCACATATTGTATTAGTAACAAAACCAGTTGACTCTCTTAGTATTTGTAAATTGTTGTTGTTTAATATCCACTGCCGATTCACAAAAGCGTACTTCATAGATTTTCTCTAAAATCGACTTGAAGATTGTCCTCCAAATGGAGTTAGATGAGGAAGCGTTAAAAGTTTTAATGGTCTATCTCCCACTTAGGCTTTTCAGTGTCATCACTTGGCTTATAGAACTTATATATTACCATAATGCTCTATATTTTAACGCTCTATGGTCTATATTAGGACTGTCCTATGCACGGCCCAAAGGTTGCATGCGGCCTGTGCCTTATATTTGTGCGGCCCACGACATGTTTCTAATCCACCATAATTACGTTAATTTTCCTTTAGTATATTTTAGTAATGTCAGTATTTCATTTAAATGGTATCACATATAAATGTAACATTATAACATTATTATTGTAATACAACATTATCACCGTGTTTTTATTTTATTCCAAATAAATAATGAAAATTTTTATTTTTTTCCTCCAATCTACGTATACTGGGATTTGTATTGGCTCGCGATCGAATCTGGTCTGGATAGCTCTGTTCTATATATTTACAGTAACTTATGAAAGGTATAGAAGGAAGCGTCAATTATATTTATGACATGATAATCGTTGCGGAAATTATCACTGATTTCGCAAGTAGGTTGGCTTCTTAAAGGGGGTGTGGTGGTATTGTATTTAAAACCCAAACTTACGCGACCAGAATGATTGTGTTCATTTAAAATCATTCGATGTAAAATTGCATTTTCCAAACGGTTACTGTGACTCAAAATCACCAGAGGTGTTGGATAGGCTTTGCTCCTTACCAAGGAGGAAATTGTATCCAAATACATAACTTCAACTGGTACTGGCGGAGTTCCTCGGAGTTACAATGGGGCGGCCATCGGCGCAATATACTAATGCGTGGATGAAGAACACCGTAGTGTTAAGCCTTCACGGCAAGTATTCACGTAAAATTCTGGAGCTTGATGCTGCTGACATACGCCTTCAACAAAGGGATAAAATTTTGCACTCCTGATAAAAAATAAAATAAAAAATAATATCTCCTAATAAAATATAAAAAATAGTAATATAAATTTAATATATATTTAATTGTACTCTATGCATCCTTTTACGTGATATGTTATTGCCATATACTGTCATATTTATATGTTAATTAATTATGTTAAGGCTAGTTGAGTCAGTGCACCTGAGCACTTTTACTCTCTATTAACTGCGAGGTTTCTTCAAAACCCCTCTTTGCGCCTTGACTAGATTATTGTTTATCACTTCATCAGACTAAGCAATAATTGACCTCAGATCTGCATACCTCCCCGAGGAGCCTGTAACCATTCTAAGATTTGATAACGCGGTGTTGGTAAGTCTGTCAGATTTCGCAAATAATTTCAGGGCTCTATCCTTTATGTATTTTTTGATGGGATCAAATAATATAATTTTTATTTATAATATAATATTTATTTTTCATATTGAAAAAAATATTAAAATATTAATATTTTATTATTATAACGAAGCCATTTTTAATAGCTCTTCGGACACGATCTTACTGTTGGGATATTACTACATTGACTATAGATTATTGATTAATTATTGTTTTTATTTTTAGAATTTTTTAAAGATTTCACTTTCTTAATTAATTTAATTAATTAAATTTTTTTATTTTTAATATTTTCATTAAATCATAAATAAGAACATGGCATAGACTTTTTGCTTAAAACATGATTTGAATAAGATTCTGTGTTCCTCCGCTATATGTTTTTAATGTATATCTATATATATTAGTATGTTGTTAATATACATCCATATATATTAGCATGTTGTTAATATGCATCCATATATATTAGCATGTTGTTAATATATAAAACATATGATTTAGATATAATATTCTGTGTTCTTCTATACATATATATCTATGAATATATATCTACATATATTAATATGTTGTTAATATACATTTATATATATTAGCATGTTGTTAATATATATATATATATCTACTTTAACGTAATTATTCCTCTCAATTGGTAGTTTAAAATCCATTTGGTGGTTGCATTATTAATAACCAAAATATTTGCAATCAATCCGACTTCAATTAACTTGAGCAATCCGACCAGCACTTTGTATCTTAACGACTTTTAATCTGCCATTTACAGATCAAAACAATCGAGTCCTTTATGACTGGCGCTACAACACTCACGGCATTAATTCCTTCACTTCTGTAAAATTGGTTCAGGTCAAGTGTCGCTTGTGTACTGGCGAGTTGACAATTGTATGTGTTTATATACCTGTTCGGTAAAAGTAATGCCGT